TATTAATCTTCGACTAATATATAGTTGGGGGACAAAGGCGGTAACAATGCAGCATTTAGTCGTTTGTATGAAGAGTTAGGGGACAAAGGTGGTGACAAGAAGTTATTTCGGTTGGCCAAGGCGAGAGAGAGAAAAGCTCGTGATCTAGATCAAGTGAGGTGCATCAAAGACGAGGAAGGCAGAGTTTTAATGGGTGAGGCTATGATTAAGAGGAGATGGCAGACTTACTTTCATAAATTTCTTAATGAAGAGGGGGACAGAGACATTGTGTTGGGTGATTTGGAGCACTCTGAGAGAAGCCATGATTTTAGGTACTGTAGGCGCATTAAGGTTGAGGAGATCGTGGGCGCTATGCATAAGATGAACAGAGGCAGAGCGACTGGGCCGAACGAGATCCCAGTTGAATTTTGGAGGTATGTCAGTAGAGAGGGTCTGGAGTGGCTGACTGGGCTGTTCAATGTTATTTTTAAGACGAAGAAGATGCCAGAGGAATGAAGATAGAGTTTGATGATCCCGTTGTACAAGAATAAAGGCGATATCCAGAATTGTAACAACTATAGGGGTATCAAGTTGATTAGTCATACTATGAAAGTGTAGGAGAGGGTGGTGGAAGCGAGGGTGATGAGGTCGCTGTCTATATCTGAGAACCAATTTTGATTCATGCCGGGTCGTTCAACTACGGAAGCTATCCATCTTATCCGGAGGTTGGTGGAATAGTACAGGGATATGAGGAAGGATTTGCACATGGTGTTTATTGACCTAGAGAAAGCGTACAACAAGGTCCCGAGGGACGTTCTTTGGAGATATTTGGAGGTAAAAGGTATTCCGGTATCATACATTAGTGTGATTAAGGACATGTATGATGAAACCAAGACTCGAGTTAGGACAGTAGGAAAAGACTCGGAGCATTTTTCAGTGGTTATGGGGCTTCACCAATGATCTATGCTCAACCCTTTCTTATTTGCACTGTCGATAGACGCACTGACGCACTATATTCAAGGGGAGGTGCCATAGTGTATGTTATTTGCTGATGATATAGTTCTGATTGAAGAGATGCGAGGAGGTGTTGACGAGATACTGGAGGTTTGGAGATAAAAACTCATATCTAAAGGTTTCAAGTTGAGCATGACTAAGATTGAGTACTTGGAGTGCAAGTTCAGCGATGTCACGGGGGGAGTGGACATCGACGTGAGACTTGATTCACAAGTCATCCCCAAGAACGACAGTTTTAATTACCCTGGGTCGATTATCCAAGGGAACGGGGAGATCGACGAGGATGTCACGCACTGTATAGGGGAAGGTTGGATGAAATGGAGGTTAGCATCTGGCGTTTTGTGTTACAAAAAGGTGCCCCCGAAACTTAAAGGCATTTTTTACAGAGCGGTGGTTAGACCGGCCATGTTGTATGTGGCAGAATGTTGGCCAGTTAAGATTGCCCATATTCAAAAGATGAAAGTAGAAGAAATGATGATATTAAGATGGATGTGCGGGCACACAAGGTTGGATATGATTAAGAATGAAGATATTCGAGCCAGGGTGGGCGTGGCTCCCATAGAAGACAAAATGTGGGAACTTAGGCTTAGATGGTTCGGGCACGTGCAGAGGAGAAGCCTAGATGCTCCGGTTAGGAGGTGCGAGCGGTTGGCTCATACGGGTATGAGAAAAGGTAGAGGGCGGCCAAAGAAGTATTGAGGAGAGGTGATCAGGCAGGACATGGCGCGACTCCAGCTCACCGAGGATATGGCATTTGATAGGAAGGTATGGAGGGAGAGCATTAAGGTTGAAGGTTAGTAGATAACTGAGCGTTTTTCTACTCCGTTCTGTGTGTAAGTCTAGTCGGTTAGTGTCGTGTTTTAGTATGCTAGTGGTACATGGCATGCTCGTACTATTTTCTAGGACCTCGTCACTGCAGTGATTATTGATATTGCTTTCCCAAGTATATTTTCTGATTCTTAGCTCGCTGGTACTATCTTTCTGGTTATGTTGTTGTCATTATTATATTGTCTCATTTCATCTTCTTGTGCCGAAGGTCTATCGGAGACAGCCTCCCTACCCCAGGGTAGGGATAAGGTCTACGTACACACTACCATACCTAGACCCCACTTGTGAGATTATACTGGACGGTTGTTGTTGTAGTCTTCGACTAAAGGATATAAAGAAAAGACTAATCTAGTGCAAGTATTTACTCCACATAATTAGGTGCTCTCCAATCTTGTGCCTCGATTAAACCAAGAGGTCTAACCCATTCTTTGCAATTCAATGTAGTGGATTAACCACCATAATGGGATGAAGACTTGTTGACCCACGAAGATCAAATAGATATGTAAGATCATAATTATATGAGCGGCCTCCCTGATATGGGCTTTAACCTTATATGTAACTGCCCAATCCACTAATGATGTTATCCGCTTTGGGCCTAGACCCGCACGGCTTTAAAACGCGTCATTTAGAGTCTAAGACTTGTCTACTTGTATACTCAACATCTCTCCCGTGTTTTGTCGATGTGAGATTTTCACCTAGGATGTCACATACACTCCCTTAGGGATTTTCCCCCACCACCGTTCAAGGTTGCACGCGAAGTGACTCTAATACCATATGTAACAGCCCAGCTCACTAATGATATTGTCCACTTTGGGCCTAGGCCCGTACGGCTTTAAAAAACATCACTAGAGTCTAAGATATATTTACATATATACCCAACATTTCTTCCGTATTTTGTCGATATTGGATTCGCCTAGGGTGTCACAAGACAACAGCACAATGAAAGCCAAAGAAATTTTTGTAAGTGATACCAACAAATTAGGGTTAAAGAGTCTTTCAACAGTTCTTTAT